TTATTTGAAGGAATTATATTTGAAAGAGATTTATTTGGAAGAGATTTATTTGAAAGTATTATATAATCTGAAGATTTCTATTTGAAAAACGTATAGGCGAAAGATTTATATCGGAAGGACTTGATTAATTGGTTGTACTTGTATTCATTATTTATTGCGCAATATTTATGGTGTTCTTGTCGCCCTGTTGTGTATGTCACTGGTTGATTATTGTTGCCATCATTGTTATTTGTGTCATATTATTTTTGCATACTATATTGCACGGGTTATTAGACTAGTGAGTGTCTCGAATGTACTTCATCACTACTCCAGTGAGGTTAGTCTTGATACTTCTGGGTACCGACTACACTTCTGTATATTTTTGTGCAGAGCCAGGTATTGGAGCTATCAAACTCGGACATAGTTAAAGTGTGATCGCAAGGATTCAAGGTAGAGTTCTTTGGTCGTCACAGTCCCTTGAAGTTTTTTTTATTTTATTGTACTATTAATTATTAATCAAATAGTATTGAGTATTCGATTCTTGATATCATTTCATGTATTCAGTTAGAGTTCGTGACTCAGTATTACCAGTCTTGGGAGGTTGTTATATATGTAATTATTTCCGTTATTGGTTATATATAAAAAAAATGGCTTGAATTGTTATAACATCGGCTTACCTAGTCTTAGAGACTAAGTTCCATCACGACGCCTGTGGAGAAATTTTGGATCGTGGCATTATCAGCCACCTTTCTACCTGGGATGAATCCTGCTTGTGTATCTGAGATTATTGAAGCAATGACTTTCTGAATTCTGTTGGCCAATACCTTGGCAATGAGTTTATATATTACTGTACAACAAGCTATTGGTCTGTATTCTTTGATGTTTGAAGGGTTAGGAACTTTAGGAAGTGTTGTGATGGATGTGCAGTTGATTGCTCTGTATAACTTCCCTGTTTGAAAGAATTCCTTAACTGCTTGACAAATTTCTGAGTTTAGAAGGGGCCAAGCTATTTTGAAGAATAAGGAATTATATCCATCTACCCCTTGTGCTTTATCATCTCCAATAGCACACGGTCCTTCATATATTTCTTGGTCTGTAACTTCAGCACAGAGACTGCTCTGTTGCATATGATTGAGTAGTGGTCTATTTTTCATTACCTGTTTGTTTACTACAGGTAATTGGGTTGTAGCAGATCCAATCAGGGATTTATAAAAGGTAATGATCTTTTCTTGGATTTGGTGATGGTCTGTTAGTCTATCTCCAAAAGCATTGACAAGTTCTATGATGACTTTTCTTTGTCTTCTTTCCTTCATAATTGCTGAAAAATACTTGGAGTTTGCATCTCCTAGTCTTATCCATTTTGCTCGAGCTTTCTGTTGAATGATGCTTTCTTCTATTAATGACCATTTTTCCAGAGTCTCTAAAAGTTGTTTCTCCTCAGCAACTAGTTTATCTGAGTAGCAGGTAAACATTTGATCTTGTATCCCCTGCAGCTTGTTCCTTGTTTGTTCCAATCTTTCTTTGATACCTCTAAACTCTGTGTTATTTAATTGCTTCAGTACTGGCCTTAGAGCCTTCAGCTTGTGCCAAACATTCTTCATAGGATTTGAATTATGATGTTTCTTTCCATACTTCTTCTACCAATGCCATGAAGTTTGGATGGTCAACCCATACATTGAAGAATCTAAATGGAATCTTACCACTTGGTTCTGCTCTACTCATTATTATTACCATTGGAGCATGATCCGATATGAATGGGAGTCTGCATTCTACTTCCATGTGCCCATATGTTTGCATCCCGTCATCATTTCCTATAGTTCTATCAATTTTGCTATAGCTCTATCAAATCTATGTTTTGAGAAAACAGGATTAAAGAAACACCCGGTAAAAATCAAGGGATTTTATGAGAAATTAAAATTGTCGAAATAAGTTGTGGCTTGTAAATAGGAAAGATGATGAGACGATAAGGAAAAGATATTCACCATATCAGACATTCTTTTATTTATTTACTTATTTGCTATGCTAGAAAAGCTGTTAAAAAATCTTACTAAAACCACTTTATTAAGCAATTTTGTTATTATTTCCCCCTAGAAGTTATTCCTATACAGTCTGGTTTTCCTTCCTCTATTCCTTAGGAAGGAAAAAGAAATCAAAAAATTTCCAACCAAAAAGTTAGAAGTGAAACATCAATTAAATCAACAAATCCATAGTTAAGAGTGTGACTCAGTAGTTAATGGAGTTGGATAAAAATCATAGACAACTAATGTTTAAATCAGAGAGCCAAGTGTCTATCGGAAACAACCCCTCTATCCCCACAAAGATAGAGGTAATGTTTGCGTATACACTACCTTCCTCAGATCCACTTATGGGATTACACTGAGTTTTTTGTTATTATTGTTGTACAGGACTGGGGTTCAGGGGCGGATGTAGCGTGTTCTCAACGGGATCAATTGAACCCATAACTTCCGACATTGAGTAAAAATTTATATATAAAATTTCATTAAAATTGCAAAAATAGTAGATATGAACCCATAACTTTAAAAATATAATGGGTTCAATGCTAAAACCTTAGGCGTTGAATCTATAGAATTTAAATCCTGGATTCACCTTTGCTAATGTTCAAATCTCCGCAGAAGCAACGTTAAGTTATATTCTTCCTATATGTCGCATGGTGGGCAAAGTTACGATACATGTGCTGGTGAGAAGTAAACCAGGTAGAATAATTTAGGTGCGGGCAAATTGACCCGAACAGTACCGTTATCGTAAAAATAAAAAAAATTGACAAACACAAACCTACATGCATGCAAAAAAGAAAGAGTCAATTCAAGGGTAAAGAGGTGTACCGGGTTTCTAACAACAATTGAAGCGCAACTCCTATAATTAGAAAGATCAAAAGCAATCTCCATTCCAGAATTTCCAGAACCAACAACCAAAACTTCTTTTCCTTCATATTTTTGACCTGATTTATATTCACTTGAATGAATAATTTCTCCTTTGAATTTTTCAAGCCCTAGCACTTTTGGGATATAACCTTCATTGTTTTCACCACTAGCCAAAACCAAGAAATCACAACCATAAAATTCCATTTCTCCAGTAGCCACATTTCTTACTTTGATATTCCATTTTTTCTCTTCTTTTTCATAAAATGCCATCTCCACACAACATTGGAATTTTGGGTTGATATTAAAATTCTCAACGTATTCATCTAAGTATTGAATAAACTCATTTTTTGACAAGTATTTTGGTGCTGAATTTGCATGTGGCTTCAAAGGCAATGAACAAAAATCTTTAGATAAATGTAAGTGAAGTCTATCATAAGTCCTTTTTTTCCATAAATAGCCACAACAATCTTCTTTTTCTAACACAACATTTTTAATGGCCAATTTGTTCAAACAAGCTGAAACAGCTAAACCAGCAGGACCAGCTCCTACTATAACCACTTCCACTTCTTCCTTTGCAAAAGTAGCCATTAAAATTTTCAGACAAAGAGAGAATTTTTTTGAGAAACTAAGACAATGGTGTATGTATGGACCGCACAAAGTAGAATTTTTGAGAATTCTTTTTGCTGGTTTTATGCCACAAAAACAACCGTTACATGCAAGAAAATGATATATAGTACTAGATTAGAAGTAAGACTTGGAATTTTGTCATCTAGTTTGTTTTACATGGAGACAATTAGCTTGGTTTCTTCCTCTTTGTTCCTGATCTTTAATTTAATTACTCCATCTGTTTCATTTTATGTGACGACAATTAGATACATATATTTCTCTGGTTATAAGCAGGAGCCACGTAAGCTCAAAGGTGGTCAGTTGAACCTTTCGCCGAAGAATTATACCATGTTATAAGTCAAATATATACATATTAATCTTGAATACCATTCAGGGGCGGAGCTAGAAGCTCAGATACGGGTTCGGCTGAACCCAATAGTTTTTGCTTAAACAGTGTATTTGTGTTAAAAAAATTCATTGAATATATACAAATATTAGATTTAGAATCCAATTATTAGCATTTGAAGTCGTCGTTCTGAAATCCAAAACCCATAAAATTGAAATCATGGCTTTGCCTCTGATACCATTAGCAAAATACTTGGCTTCGCCACTAGCTATAAATGTTTGTCATTAAAGCTAAATAAAAGGTTCAAAATTAAAAGCTTTTCAATATAAAAATACTATATTCTTATTTAAGCGAACTAAAGGAAAATAATATCACATACAACGGAACAAAGTATATATATATATGTAATAGTTGACGTTATTAATTAGTAGTCAGCCTGGGGTAGGGCGATGTGTTTTTTTGTTTGCTTTCATAAATTTTATTTGGAGTGTAAAATAGTAAAAGAAATTTTACTTTCCGAATTTGTCTTAATCTTATACAGAAGCCATTATAACAAAATCTGAGTTTGATTTTCTCAAATCTTTGCTAGATGTAAAAGCATTTAATTGAAGATTAGCTTTGACTTAAACTAAAACGTACAGAAATCTGCAGATTAGATCCATTGAAGTTATCAACTTTATTGATTGCATAAACTCAAAGTGTCATTTTTTGTCTTTTTATTTGTTTAGAACAAAGCTGCCTTACAAATGGTGCGGGTTTAGGCCGATCCTATATGTATGTATATATCTAGTGAAAATAATCTCATACGCTCAATAGAAGAAAATGACTTGCAAATTTATGTTTTTTTTTTTTTACTAATCTTCTATCAAAAATTCATATAACTAAAATAATATTTATAATGAACTACAAAGCTACAGAAAATGACTTGCAAATTTATGTTTTTTTTTTTACTAATCTTCTGTCAAAAAGTCATATAACTAAAATAATATTTACAATGAACTACAAACAACAACAACCACCCAGTATAATCCCACTAGTGGGGTCACAACCTCTTGGTTGAAAATTGAGTATGCTCACCACTAGAGCAACCCACTCTTGTCTACAATGAACTACGAAGCTACACCTATATAGTGACAACGAATGATGACAGCTCATAGTCCCTATAAATGTCTAGTAGTAGTATATAGCTATGTTACTCGGAGTCTTCAAAAATGTTGTTGAGTGCGTGTCGGATCCTCCAAATTTAGTGCATTTTTGAAGGATCCGACACGGGTGCGGCAGCACTTTTGGAGAGTCCGAGCAACATAGGTATATAGTAGGGACCAAAATAAACATGTGTAAATGTCTAGTATTATATACAATTATAACACAAGAAGCATACAGATATAAACAGTATCTTTGCACTTAAAGCAAGCAAATGTCACTGTAGCGAGGAGAAGGAAAGAAAAAGTATGGATTTGTTGAAAGAGCTACTCTGAGTGGGTCGTGTCCCTTCTAATATGCACCCCTCTATTTCCTCTGCTACCAACAAAATATGAAATGTGATAAGCTAGTGTAGATAAATCTTGCTCGATGCACATGGAAATAACATTCATACATCATAGTGAACATTGATGAACAATCTGATACTACATATAATATATATTCAAGTGAAGAAGAAGCTTGTTCAACCTTTGTCACGACAAACTTAACTTCAAGCTACCAACAAAATGTGTTATGCAATTAGCTAACTTAGGTAACTCTTGCTCAATGCACATGGAAATAACATTCATACATCATAATGAACATTGATAAACAGGGAAAATCCATGCTTCATCATTTGGATCCGCACTGTCAACAAGGGGTAGATTAGTCGTTCTGAACATCTGCATTACCTCCTGAAAGCTCAATAGTACATAACAATTAACAAAGCACCTCACAAATAAAAAGCAGTGTAGATTTAACAGCAAATTGCACCTCATGCAGGACTATCCACACATGGTCTCCATTAACATCATTTTCATTAGAAACAGCAGGCCTTGTTAAAGCTAAAAAACTGCTCCATTTTGCTACCGACTATATTCAAGACATGTCAAAAGTTGCTCCCATTCTTCACTTCAGCAATGAACACAAACAAATATACTGGTGTTAACTTATCTAATGTCTTGATGGACCAATGTTGCGCGGACTCTCCAAAATGCTGCGTCACCCGTGTCGGATCCTCCAAAAATACACTACTTTTGGAGGATCCGACACGCATCCGGAGACATCTTTGGAGAGTCCGAGCAACATAGGATGGAACAGGGTGCAGCTTCAAGGGGTATACATCGTTTACTATAAGTACCAAATGGATACAAGTTAAACAATAAATCACAAAGCAATACTCATGTTGATCCAACATATTATGTTGCAAGAAAAATGGATAGGTAGTTCATAGTTGATTTAAAGTTGGAGATTTATGTAGAAACCATGCCCCTCTTTAGCTCCGATAAATCTAACTTGCAAAGAATTTCCACATACAGACCATTTGGCATCTTTCCCTTTTATCCTTAATAAAAGGGCACCTTGGTGCACTAAGCTCCCGCTATGTGCGGGGTCCGGGGAAGGATCGGACCACAAGAGTCTATTGTACCAGCCTTATCCTGCATTTCTGCAAGAGGCTATTTCCACGCTCGAACCCGTGACCTCCTAGTCACATGGCAACAACTTTACTAGTTACGCCAAGGATCCTCTTATATCCTTATTATCGTTCAACTAACGCACAAGAAGTTACCTAGGCCTGTGCTGAATTTCTCCCTTGCTTCCTCAATTTAATGGCTCACAAAGGACACATATCAACAAATTGAACCGCAATATAATTTAATGCATGTCTATCGAATCTTGACATTGTTTCTTACACGGATTAGCTATTTTTCCTTGTGTAAGCTTGGCTACATTGACCTAAGTTCAAATTTTCAGAGTGTGATAGTAGATAGTTGATATCATAACAAGTACTAGGAGTTAACACTTGAAATGCTTAGACAAGGGTTTACATCTCTCACTTAGTGAAACATAACAGTTGCACCTAATTATTCTAATATTGTGAAAGATAGAAAAGAATATACAAGAATTCACTAACAAAAGGTCAAATACATATGTTGCCCCTTGAACTTATCCCATTTTTTCATTTAGACATTTGAACTAAGCGTTGTTTCAATCAGACACCTGAACCCAAGCTAAAGTGTACCTATTAGACACCCATGGCTAATCTTTCATAAAAACAAAGTGCGTGACTTTCAGATGCAGTGACATGAATAAACAAGCAAATCACTCTTCAACACGTGGAAAATTGAAAAAGAAAAAAAGAAAAGTAAAACCTCTCTTACCACCCCTCTTCATCTTCTCTTGCCCCTCCCCCACCCCTCCTCCGCCGGCTCCAACAATGCCTCCTCCAAATCCCCACACCTCCACAAACCATTTTATTTGTCAAAAAAGTCTTTACAAATTTTATTACTCGGAATCTTTCGTCCACGTTAGCGCAAGCACTACTGCATAAGAGGGCATCTGAGCATGTAAAAAGCTGTAGCATTTTTTGGACATGACCTTTCTGTTTCATACCACAACAAACACGGCATTTGAGCCTCCAATTAAGCACCATCTCGAAGTAATTCCCCGACTAAGACATTCTAGAAGTCAGAAACTTCTTCTATTTGATCAAGGTTGGCTTTTATTACTGTAAATGATTTTTGGTCATCATTAGACAAGAGTGAGTTGCTCTAGTGGTGAGCACCCTCCATTTCCAACCAAGAGGTTGTGAGTTCGAGTCACCCCAAGAACAAGGTGGGGAGTTCTTGGAGGGAGGGAGACGAGGGTCTATCGGAAACAACCTCTCTACCCCAGGTAGGGGTAAGGTCTGCGTACACACTACCCTCTCCAGACCCCACTAGTGGGATTATACTGGGTTGTTGTTGTTGTTGTTGGTTTTTGGTCATCATTCTCATCTAATTTCTTTCATTCTCTTCCTCGCCGGAGTTCTCCTCCAGCGTCACTGCCCACATTTATAATACCAAATATGCAGGATTATCAGTAGAAGAACAAAGACCAATTTGAGAACTTTATGTTACGTGCATGATCATCCAACAAAGTTTTACAATGATCTATTTTAAAAATTGCCATGATTTAGACCTGTGGAGTTCGATCTTCCTTGTTTTGTATGACTTTTCTGGTAGAAAGGTAGATGGTGTTGCGTGGTGGCAGTGTTGGTGGCTGGCTGGTGGCAGAGAGAGATGTGAGGAAGAAGAAGGAGAAAAAAATCATTTCTTTTTAAACAAAAACCATGACTCACGTGCTCAAATATGGTGTCTTACACATGATGTGCCATGTCAGCAATAAGTGTCTAATAATACACTTTAACTTAGGTTCAAGTGTTCAATAGGAACAAAGTTTAGTTTAGGTGTCTAAATGAAAAAATCGGACAAGTTCGAGGGGCCGCGTATGTATTTGGCCTTAACAAAAGAAAGTCAAATTTAAGATACCCTACACATGATAAAATAATTTACTATTGTAGGAACAATTGTTGTTTGAAAGAACAAAGATGACAAGAGTTTGTATTTCTATTCGCTTTAGAATAGACAGGGCACTTTAAACAAAGCTCATCTCCATAATCTTTTTCCTACATTCCTCGGTCCTTTGGTATGCCCACCCTACTCTCATGATCACAGAAGCTAAATTCAATGGGCCCTCCTCAGTATGAAGAAGGGTGGGTTCCAGAGAGTATTGCACCAACCAAAGCTTCGGTTACTAAAATGCTTTATCCTTCAATATACCATTGCTTAATCGCAATGTCACTGACAAACTGAAACACCATTCAACCTTTGATTGACCATATAAGTAAAACAATGAGAAGATAGTCCTAAAGAAATTACATGGTTAGCTATTAGTAGCACGGAAAACAGATTAGCTATTAACAGCAAGGAAAGTACCAAAACTAGAGACTATGTCAGACCTTAAACATTGTTCCATAATCCCTGTGTTTCCTCCTTTTCCCCTATTAAGTTTTCACCTAAAGAAGATTATTGAATAATTCCTGTGTTTCTTCCTTTTCCCTTATTAAGTTTTCACCTAAAGAAGGTTACTGAAGAAAACCCCTCGATCAAACAACAATCCCGGCAAGGGCAATGCGTAGGCGTTATTGGCGCATTCACGTGTCATTATTTCCATGTCCCTGGTGCTCTTTGTTCTTACTCTGTCTAGAGGCATAACATCCCCCTTAAAATACTGATCAAGACGAGAAACAATGTTGAGTGCCATTTAGTTAGAAGATGAAGAATACCAAGTAGTTAAACCAAATAACTGTTCTAGCTGGAATTGTTGTTTAGCAAACCCGAAAAAGGACCGAACGAGTTCTTCCACCAAATATGGTTCAAAGATATTTGTAATATGCAATGTCTTGTACTAAATTTGACAAAGAAAATAGAATTTAACAGCATATTGAGGAAAATGTATAGAGAACTCTTACTAGTTATCAATTACACGATTGTCTTCATCTGAGCTTTTTCAACCTTCGTTGTTGTTGCATCCTTGTTTGTTTTGTAAAAACGGGCCAAACTAGGCTTTCTATGTAGATATCTGCCTCATAAATGACACCACGATTGGTAACCTCTCGATATCTGATTGAGCTATCCTTTGGATTGTATATCATGAAAGTTGATCCAAACCAAAACGAAATTTCACCTTTATTTGACATACAAAAGGGAGGACAAAATGCATACTCCACTGGATCATCAGGCCAATTGACGGTAAACATCTTTGTCCAAGATTCTTCAACCCCGTATTCCTTCATAACCCACATTTCGGCACGAGTTTTTGGAATATTACAAAACAAAGAAAGATCACTTCCCAACACTCCCATACATAACCAAATATCAAAATCTCCTTTTCCAAAGCAGGGTTGCTTCATTTTCCCCCATTTCTCATCAGCCAAATCAATATAAAAGATGCCGGAACGAGTAAGAGCAGTCCAATGAAGCTTTCCATTCAAAAAAGCACCCCACATACTGGGTAGCTTCCCACTCCAACGTTCACGAATATTTCTCCAAGAATTACTTTTTAGGCTATATATTCTGACCCCAACGTGATCCAAACCGTTATAACTCAAACGATCGGAAATAACAACTACCTTATAATCATCATGAAGCTCATCATATCCAAAACCATACATAATATAATAACCACCTCTAGGATCAGGCAATTTCTTGAACTTCCTAATTGATGGATTCCAGAGAAGGAAATACTTTCGCTCAATAACAAGACAAACTAACCCATTAACAGAACCCACAATACGAACATATCCCCAGGGTTTTTTCATAGGATAACCTAAGTCAAATGCCTCAGTAACAGAATCATAAAGTAAAGAACTAAGGGAACAATTCTTAAGCTTGAAATCAGGTGGACATGATTTCAAGATAACACTATGTTGAGTATATTCCTTACTATTAGCAGCTATATTGAGATGGGTGTAAGCAAATTCAGGGCTAGAGATTAAACAAAGCCAAGATTTTGATACACACCTGAATCGTAGGAGAGATTTCACTGGTAGCCTTGAGAGTATTTCAGTAATGAGTTCGATAGGGATTTCAAAGCTCGATTCTTCCATTGAAATGGAAGAAACTTGAGCTTCAGATTCCATTTTGGGTTCCAACAAATTTCAGCTGTTTGAGAAAGACTTACAAGGTTTAAGTACAAGACTTACAGCTGTTTGATGTTTTTTGTTTAAGTACCAGAAAAAGACTTTTTACATGCTTTTTCTGTTGTCTCTGTTCTGAATCTTTTACACAGACACACTTTTGCATTTACTTAAATGAACTATTAACGACGTCGTTTAAGATTGTTGCTTAATATGTAAAACTTTACACAATGTTAGTGTACTTAATAAATTAATTAACACAAGATATATGACTTTCATACTCGCATTTATCACTTATCCACAGTTAATATTTAGCTACTAGAGTTAAATTATTTGGTTAAATATAACATTGAGTGCTAATAAACTTTTATTGTTATAACCTATGTAAAAATTATTGCTCGGATTGTGTTTGGTACGAAGGAAAATACTTTCTTTGAAAAATATTTTCTTACTTATTTTTTCGGTGTTTGGTTAGATAGCAAAAAATATTTTTGAAAAATATATAATTCTGGCAAATAATATATAAGACGAAANGGGTTTGTAGTGGTAGGGAATACAGTGAGGAAGATTGAGAAATAATTTTGGAAAATGCTTTTCCTCCTTTTGGTAGGCTTTTGGAAAAATATTTTTCAAAATATTTAAGCCAACCAAATACGAAAAATTGGAATCACCGTTACATCAACTTAAGTCCTTCCCAACAAATTTATTTTCAATACATGAGGAGTTATTATTCCAATGATAAAAAAAATTCGAAAATAAGTCAAACTTGGCTTATTGAGGATAAATAAGTATCAAAAGTAATATGGATAAATAACGACAAACTTGGCTTCAAGCTACCTACAAAATGTGTATGAAAACTTTGCATGGTTTCATCTAGTTTGTTTTACATGGAGACAATTAGCTTGATTTCTTCCTCTTTGTTCATGATCTTTAATTTAATTACTCCATCTGCTTCATTTTATGTGACGACAATTAGATACATATAATTCTGTGGTTATAAGCAGGAGTCACGGAAGCTCAAGGGTGGCCAGTTAACCTTTTGCTGAAAAATTATACCATGTTATAGGTCAAATATATACATATTAATCTTGAATATCATTCAGAGGCGGAGCTAGAAGCTCAGATACGGGTTCGACTGAACCCAATAATTTTTACTCAAACAGTGTAGTTGTGTTAAAAAATTCTTTAAATATATACAAATATTAGATTTAGAACCCATTTATTAGCATTTGATGTCACGATCCAAAATTCATGTGACCGGCACCCGGCACACTACCCGACCCGAGTGAACCAAACCATGTGATGTACCCAAATCATATGCATGAAAACCAAATTTAACTGCGGAAGCTCCTTGAAAATCATATACATTTTCAAGTTAAATGATAAAATATTTTTCCAATTCAAAATCACACATGATGTCTTTCATGATAATAATAATGAAACTAAGTAAAATAAATATACTTTCATGTATGTCGTGTACAACCCCGTTATTATAACTTTTTACAACTATCTATGGAGCCTCTATACCAAGGAATAGAACCAACGGTTGGAATAGTTCCAACAAAAATAAAATAAGGAAGAACATGATAGCTACTACGAAATAAAAGTGGTGCTTCATAATACCTCGGAAAGAGAGTCATCATGGCCTGACCACAAGCCACGTATCATACATCATCCTGAAACATGTAAAGTAAGCAGGGGCCTGGAGGCCCTCCCAAGGGCTGAGTACACCACAGCGGTACTCAATAAGTGTCATAGACTCTCTCTAACTCAAGTTCTTGGGAGAAAATTTATAAAAATAATGCCCAAATATTTGATATAAAACGATAAGAAATTCTATCAATTCATGACCCCTGTTATTTTAAATAACAACCAAGTGAAATATAACTCACAATATAAAATTTTAAAATATTTACATCAATCCAAGATTTTGGATAAAATCGTACAAAATCATTCCATTTGCTTAAGTCATCGAAATTACTTTCGGCTCCTTAGGCCTAAACATAAGAAAATCATCTTTACCTTTCACTGGGAGTACTATACCATCACCGACACAAGAAGGTCAACTAGGTTATGTATCTAGCGACAAGTATCATATACCCAACTTGCTCAGGTTGTCTCATCGTAGTGCCGTATAAATCGACTCAACCATGCTAATAATAGCACAAAATAGTACTCTCTCGAGGGAGAGCACTCTGTCATAGTCTATACCACAAAGTGGCCATCTACGCTTACACCGGCACGTGTAGTTTCATGGCAACAAACACGATATATCCGAAGTCAATCTCGGTGAACACAAGTAACTCCCAAAATATTTGATACTTCAAAATAGATTCATAGTATAGTACACTCAAATGATCTATTTTTTTTTATCAAGTCATAGCATTTATAGAAAATCTAAATCCTTTGAACAAAATTTAAATAAATAATCTTTTACATGCTAAAGCGTTTAGCAATTTAGCATAAATCTTTAAAAGATACCACAAGTGCTATTCTGTTCGTCAATTTTCAAAAGAAATACTTTCCATAAAAACTTATCTTTAGCACTCAAATATGTATACTCTTGTTAATACGTAAGTTTTGATAAAAACTTATAACATTTACCTTGAGTGTCACTTTGCCAACAAGACTTAAAATGAAATTTTATAAAACAGAATGACACTACATATGCAACATAATATTCTAGTACATGGAGACATCCATACTTATTTGTCCCCACAAGTACGAAAGCACATTTGCAAACAAGTTAAGTATTAACTCGAAACATGCTTTTAGAGAAAGTCCCTCAAGAAGGGTAAGTTTTAATCAACTTACCTCGCTTTATTAATATTCACAAGCTTTCAATCCTCCTCCATCATTCCAATGTTGATTAAAATGCTCAATATCACCAGCAAGTCGATATCTACAATTAGATATCTTAGTTACATCAAAATATGACCTAAGATATTATTCAACATCCATATATGGCTCACAAGTTGGCTAATGTAATGACCTCACTTATCGTTTTAAGAATTTACGTCCCGTTCAGCGACTTAAGGTCCCAAGCAACTTCGTAATATGTATTATAACTTACGTGTGCGATCGAGTTTGGAAGTTGGAAGATTTGAAATTTTATGAGTTCGATTTGTGGTGCCGAGGTAGGCTAATGTGTAAGGCCCCGTGAATTTCTAATTCTAATTCGAGCAATTTTGAGCTTAGGAATACAATTTAATTTAGACCCGAACCACATGAGAATTTTTGGAGTGGATAAGTTATTCAGATACTTAGGGATCATTGTTTTATTAATCTTTGAGTGATGTAGTAATGGGGAACCCTTGGATGTTAATTTAAATGCAATAAGACTAAAGAAAATACAGTGAGCTATCTTCCTATAGCGCAACTATAGCACATGAAGGAAGCAGAAAATTTTAGAAATATAGTGAGCTAAAGCCTTATAACACAGTGGCTTCCGCACCAGTGGAAAAATACTGTATCCGATTTTAGTAAAACAGTGAGCTAAAGCCTTATAGCACAGGGATAGCACTAGTGGAAAAATACTGTATCCGATTTTAGCAAAATAATGAGCTAAAGCCTTATAGCACAAGGATAGCTCCATTAGAAAAAATACTGTATCCGATTTTAGCAAAACAGTGAGCTAAAACTTTATAGCACAGGGATAGCACCAGTGAAAAAATACTGTACCTGGACCTATTAATACATGAGCGGGGAGAGAGAAGAATAAAAGGATTTCAAGACTAGGGCTTGTCTCTCCATCACACATCCAGCCAAGGCTTCCAATACACACTTAAGGTGAGTTTCTAAGGGTGTTTTTATGATTATTTCACTTCTCAATCACTAGTTACAACAAGGTTTTGTATTGGATTCCATAGGATTTCTTCAAAATCTCAAGAACACCCCAAAAGTTGACTTTCAAGATTTGGTCTACAAGACGTAATCTTTCACCCTTAAACCTACATGCTTGGATTGTTAGTGAATATATGAGCAAGAAATAAGTACTAGCACTTATAAGATGGTGATTGGAAGCCATAATTACTAAACTAGATTATTGGGTGTTGTAGAGATTTTGTAATGAGTTAATTAGTAAAATTTGGTAGATGTGAGTTCATTGATGATTATAACGATGCTAAGAAGGTAGTTATTGGACAAAGGATGTTATATTATATCTTGTTGGTGGGAATGAGGGATTGTTGGATGAAGAAACACCATTACTAGAGGTAGTAAAATGCTATGTATTCTAGGTGTTTGATAAAATGCCTAAATGACCAAAAATCTAGAAATATGTTTACTAATATTGGTGCAATTGTGTTACATTATTGTAGATTGAAATTTATTTAGTGTGGTGGACCATCGTAGTATTATTAAGGGGTGAATTTCAGATTTGAGCTGTCCGAAGGTGGCTTCACTCACGAAGATCATTTAAAGACTTGGTTTAGTTTCGCCGAGGTAAGTATCTTGCCTAACCTTGAGTGGGGGAATTACCCCCTAGGCATTGAGTCTTATGTAGAAATTGTGTGATTGAAAGCCGTGTATGCAAGGTGACGAGTACGTACTTGATTTATATGTACAAATTATATCGGTTAAAATTCGTATACACCCTTATGTATTAAATTGAAAAATTATTGGAACTTAGTAAATCCTTGAATTATCATGCCTCGTTTCTTGTTTGTCGAAATTGTATTTTATATGATAATTTGGTGTTATTACTTGTATATTTATGTGAATTCCGTGAGTTTGGTGATTTGATATTTCCTGGAAATAATTATATTATGGATTTTCCATCTGCAAATAATTAATGAAATAAGTTTAAACCGAGGCGTTATATAATTTATCAAGAATTTGGATTAATAAAAGTGTTACCCTATACTGAGTATTTTCCATCTCTGTTGTTGTTTTGAGGTTTTATACACATTGTGTGGAGTCTTGGGCTATTTATTGTGAAATTAATTGATTTTGTTATATCTTTGGAATTGGCTGCGGCCATTGGGCAAATTGTGATATGAATTGATTTTGTTATGTTACTGTGATAATATTCCGTGTAAATTATTTTGTTATTTGACTTATTATTTTGAGGATATAAGGGTGACATTTCACTATTGATATTATGTGGACATAAG